AAATACGTAAAATTATAAGATTATACAATTTAGATCCGGTCTAAATTGCTTCTATAAATATTTTTTTATGAAGGAGTAACTAGCTACTTTTCTCAAGGGGGGGTGGGCATTGTTAGTAATGTGGACTAATGACCTCAATGCTAGCAATATTAGGTTAACTTCTATGCGGTTCCATCTGGAAATTTATTAATATATTTGCATTATCATCTATTAAAAAATATACATTTTTCCAATATTCTATAGACCCCGCTTGTCACTCACATAATAAATGGTCACATATCTACCCACCTGTTGTGTTTCGTCGCTTCACAGCCTTCTTTCTAGTTCAAGGTTCGAGTTACGAAATAAATAAAGCATGTTACGTTTAACTAAGTCGCAGTTCCTTCTAGTAGTTTCGAAATGTCGACGACTGTTAAAAGGTCACCGTGGAATACCACATGAGAGCCAAATAACCCTGAACTTTTACGTCACTTCCAGCTATTTTCTATATAATGCACTTTAATATTATATACCACGAAATAGATTTCAAATGATTCTCATTATTTTTAAAAACTGTATGGGTTGAATAATTATTCTAATTAATGTAATGGGAGTATTTCATTTATTCTTTCATAATTATGAACACTTCCATAATGCTCTGTAAATATTGATATGATACGACTCCAACTTTGTCCTTAATTCTCTTCATGTAACTGTTTTGGTCTTCTCTTCTCTCTCTATTTTTCTTTCAATAATAATATTTATATATTCATCGCGGCGTGTGTAGTGGATCAGCATATATGTAAAAAGAAAGTTTTTGAGTAATTTTAAATAAAAATACGTTAAATTAAATTAAATTTGACCAGCTCAGGTGTTCTATATAAATTTCATAGACATAAGCTTCTTAATTTTAGAGTTAAAAGCTGTCGGAAAAATACATAGGTTACAGACACATTGTCTTGGGAATGCATAGAGAGGTAGTAGTAAGGTTCTTAAGTGCGCGAAATAAGCTGCCTGACTTTTTTCGCAAAGCATTAAATAATATAACGCAATAAATGAGGACAAACAAAAAATAATACATTGTTTTAGATATTGTTTCATAAATTTATATAATAATAATTATTCAAATTCTGTTACGAACAGCACGATATAGATATCAAGTTGTACTACGAGGAAACGTAGACAAATGACAAGCAAATATGAATTGCAAACATTGTCTAATTTTGTTGTGGTGCGTGACTTAAAGACTATTGCGTTGAAAAGTTTAATATAACAATACTATAAATTTGTCTTCAAAAATAAATATTTATAGTAAATTAAAATTTTGTTAATAGTCTAATAATCATTTCATTAGTCAAGACTTAAGATTACCAAGTTTGAATATTTTGTTTGAATTTTCCATCTTTCTTATGGTCTGCTTAGTTAACGGTTAGATGCTGTTTTATAAAAACTTAATTGGTACCTATACATGTTGGCATAAAAGTAAATAAGTATACATATTAATTTTAATTAAATTACTATACGTTACTCTACTCTACGTTCTGTACTCATTCGACATACTCGTGAACAGGTGGGGACTGTGTGGTCGTGTGGACTGATCTGTTCAGGTTACGGTAAAAATCCAATTGCAATTGCTGGTGGTCACTACATTCTCTCTAATTTAATCTATTTTTTCTATAATCTAACATATAATCTAAATATAACAAGCTCATTTGAACAGAATAAGCTTGAGATTCTTCTGTTTTTCTCACGAAAGCATTCCGAAATCACGATAGATTTGACATATCATATGCCTCTTATATACCTACATGAAAAAAGATATTTTGATTTTATTTGTACCTACTGCATATCGCTTTTATGTTTTGAAACAGATCACAAGTTTAAAAATTTTTTTTCACTCCTAGTTAGAAAGAGATAAAATATTTCATATTTTATATAGTCTGTATATATTTGGTCAAAAATACCTGTACATACTCGTATGTAGGTATACAAATGTAAATAGATATTAGGTATATGTAATGTTAAACAATTATGTACTTACCATTACTAAAGTTTAATTGCTTTACAGGGAGTCTATTACTATCATTATGAATTAATTAGAAAGGCAATTTTATCACATTAAATACTTCTTTGTTAAAATCGTGATTAGTTTTTGTTGAGTGCCGCAGGACCTTGTATTATTAATGTGAAAATCATTGTCAGTTTACTCTAGAATCAAATGAAAAACACTCGTAGTGAATTCAATTATATGTCTTATTCAGTTAATAGTTTTTTGTGCATTCAGTTAATTATAGAAAGTTCATGACTGTAAAACTAGACCCGGTTGTTAGAAGCATCGTTGTCGCCAATATCGCGGTAATGCATTGCATGCAACGCTTGTAAAAGACAATTTTTATATCAATGATATGGAAAAAAATTGTGTAGTGTATGTAGAAAGTTGCCTGCATGGGGGTACCTCTGTTCCATCTATTTCAGAAGCCAAGCAGCTTGCTTTGTAAGCTTTGTTTTGGTTGTGGTAAGATGAAGCAGTGAAATTACATGATAAGAGGTATGAAATCTTTATCCTCAAGAATAACAATGCATAAACAATATCACGTCACATGATAACGTGGTGTATTTTGTTCTTGTATATAGCTGACAGTGACCATACCATCATGTAGTCCATCAGCTTGTTTACCACTCCAATTACATAAAAAAATCCTAAAGTATGATAATGCAATGTGAAAAAACATATTATAAATAATAGAGTCTATATTGTCATCGGGGCTAATTAGAGCTTTTGGCTTTTCTCGGCCCAACAATGGCGGTCGGCCTCGTAGTGGCAGGAAACCGGTGAAATGATCAATCAACCGTCCGTCTCGACCTCGGCAAACATTTCCGGATGGAATTTGGCCGAAATGTCTTTTGTCATTTAGTCGATTAGTTGAGCCATTGATTTATACATCATGATTCTGAGACCGATTTATTCATCACAAGCGTCAAGTTGTGAATTACAGTTTTCAAATTACACGTATAGTAGTTAACCTTTGAGTTCAAATAGATACAAAAGATGTACAGTGTTATTTAATAGAATGTAGTGATGATATTTTCTACCTACTAATGGTTGTTTATGGTAATAATGGTAATAGCCAGGCTATCTACTAATTCGTAGCGTAACAGGGAATGCATGCTCTGTTCTCTGTAGTGCTGTCCTCTGATACTCAACTTAACTGGACTATTAAAAAAATCCACACTCAATATACGAAATACTATGAAGCAGATACATATTTTGATTTTTGACGACCTCGGTGGTCTAGCGGTCTAGTCTACCGCTTTACGACCGATGGTCGCGGGTTCGATTCCTCGCACGGCACAAACATTTGTATTCATGAGTATGATTGTTTGTATCGGTCTGGGTATTTTCTATGTATAATATGTATGTATTTACGAAAAAAAAAATATCTATGTATTTGTATCAGTTGTCTAGGACCCATAACACAAGCTTTAGCTAGCTTAACTTGGGTCTAGATGGCGCTGTGTGAATTGTCCTGAGATTATTATTATTATTATTATTATATATACATCGTCGCGTCCAAATATGTTATTTACCTGTATAGCACAGAAGTACTTAATAGTGAAATATTATCTATATGTAAAGCCTGGCATTAACGAGATATTCAATTGGATACCAACCAAATATATATTTTTTTACAAGTAACAATTTAAAAATTGGTTTATTTTGATGTACATTTTCCATTTTTTTTTTTGTATTTAGAAGTTATGTATTTTTAAGTTCACTCGAGACAATAAAGATGTGACTTAAGTATTAAAAAATAAAAACTTTTGCAAGTCAACGTACTTCTTATTAAATAACATGTGACTTATAATTCACAATTATTACGATAATAGTAATTTTAGTCTGTTCGCGCCAAAATTATAATTATAGAATTTGAATTTGTATGATAGTGGTGCCATCTGTCGAAAATAACCTGTATTAATAATCCTATGCTGAATGATAGGTAGTAAAATAGCAGCTAAGTTGTAGGTACAACTTAATTAAAGAATACTAGATGGCGCTAGCAACACGAAACTGACTATCTAAACGAATTATTATTTTACATAAACTACATTATATACCTAATTGTACAGTTGTAATGTTTTTAAGAAAATCTTTTTATACGCTTCTTCTTAAAAGTATAGGGTCAGCATAGCTTTTATTTACCAGAAGTACCTAATGATATACTAGCAACCTACACATGATTCGCATGGGATCAAAATTTATTTAACTTTTAAACTGTTGTTAGATTTTAGTAAGTAAAAACTGCTTCGCAAATAATACATTATTTTAGAAGAAAATTGATTACAATAAAAAAGATTGTAGTGAGTTAACCTTAAAAGATAGACATATGTTGTCCTGGACTATTTTTTAACATTTAAAGGAGAACAATTCTGTCATACTTATTTTTTGCGTAACCACAGATGAGAGAACATTATCTACCGTAACTAACCGTTCATGAAGCACACGCAGCGGGAGTACTTAAAATTCACATATTTTGTTATTTTTTTAATTGCTGCTACGATACCCTATATATATATTAATATATACTATATATGTGCACAATATATATAACCTATTATAGTCTAATATTATATAGTCCTCAAGGATATTTTACATTTCTGAGAGTCAAAGTGTGCACGACGCACCTCTTTGTATATTATTTATGTATTTTGTCTATTATTTTATATAGAAAAATATATATTGTCATTGTCAATTAATTCTGTTAATTATTATTATACTTTTGTACATAATATTATATTATTGCTTCCTAAAACCCGTGTTTGCATAATTATATTTACCAGCCCCATATATATACAGTCCTTCGTTCACATTTTTGGTCCTTCTCCCATAATTTATTAACAAATTTCTAAATTTTAAATTCACAATTTTATAAATATGGAAACACGGTCGGGTCGTAAACTAGGATCGGCAATCCCTCGTACGGCAAAAGCGTTGTCATTACCGGCAGAGGAAACGCAATCTGATGCCCGCGCCACGGCGCTGGTGTCGACCGTACCACCGATCGCGGTTAGTACTCACAGTACATCGGCCTGCAGCCGCTCATCTGCCACGGTACGTGCTAAAAAACTTGCAGCTCAAACACAGCATGCACACCGCCTTGCACAAATTGAAATGGAGGCGGCAGAAGCTCGTCGTGCTAAGTTGGAGGCGGCGAGGAAGTAATACGAAGCAGAAATTGAAGCAATCAGTTCCCGGGGCAGCCGATCTGGTAGTCGTGCTAGTGTTCATCGTAGCTGCTCGGAAGTTGTGGACAAATGGTTAGATAACAATAATTATCCTATTTCGTCTCAATTTCTTAATAATCCGCAGATTCCTACGGTAAACACACATCCCCCTACTGTCACCTTAGTTGAACCGATCGCTGCCTTAGTATCGGCAGTAGATAAGTTGACAGATAAAATTACCGCTCCGAAAGGGATTAATATAAAACTTCCTCATTATGATGGAAAGTCCCCTACGGAATGGCTTTCTTTTAAACGTGTGTTTCAGGACACACAGTCTGGTTATTCACCAACAGAGAACTTAGCTCGTCTGAGCTACGCATTACGAGGTATCGCGCGAGAGTGATAGAGATATTCAGTGGATTACGTATACAGTTGTAAATATAATTTATTTCGTTCCGATTGCAGTTGCACGTTACACACAAACTGTTACTTAGCAACAATACTTATTTTAAATGTGATGGATTATACTTTTTCTACTTCAATCAATGTGCCTAATACGGTCCCTTAATCCATTACATTTAAGACATTCCACATCTCGACATTTAAATAACATACATAATATAAAACAATATACAGAAGAGTAAACAATAGAACTACTAGCAAAAAACATATCCAAAATTAAATCTGTTAAAATACTAACAATTTCTGTTGGACCTATACCGCCCCCTTAACAGAATAATTTTGTAATATTTGAGTCACAACTACCTTTAACTTCGGACCTGATACACATTTCGTCAAGATATCTGCTATCATTTTTTCGGTCGGTAAGTATTTAATTATAATGTTATTATTAGCCACTGCCTCTCTAACGAAATGATATTTTATATCTATGTGTTTAGTCCTATTGTGATTCATTTTATTTGCAGCTATTTTATGCGCAGATTGATTATCATTATAAATCAAAACTGGCTTACTACTTCTCTTAAGTAAACTGTTAAGTATATTATTTAAATATACAGCCTCCTTTGAGGCTTGACACAGAGCTACGTATTCTGCTTCGGTTGAGGAGAGTGATACGCATTGTTGTTTTCGGCTTTCCCACGATATAATATTTGTGCCTAATTTGAAAATAAAACCTGTAAAAGATTTTTTGTCATAAGACCCACCCCAATCCGCATCTGCATAGCCATAAAAATTAACATCTTTCGATTTTCTAAAAGAAAGACAATGATTCAATGTCCCCTTTAAATAGCGTAAAACACGTTTAGCACAATTGAAATGTAATTCATTATAACAGGAATTAAATTGAGATAATAAACTAACAACATGTGCTATGTCTGGTCTAGTATTTACAGCTAAATAATTAAGACATCCTATTAAATTTTGATATGGCAAGTCGCATTCCGAATATGATGCTTTTTCTAATTTAAGACCTAGCTCCATTGGGGTTTTAACTGGTTTACAGTCAGTCATCCCGAAGTCGTTCAAGACATTTGTTATATATTGTTCTTGATCGAGATATAAGACACCATTTTCTCTCCTCAGCCGCATACCTAAAATATGCCTAGCAGGACCTAAATCTTTAATTTTAAATTTATTCAGTAGCCCCTCTTTCAGTTTCTGTTTTTCGTTTTCACAATTACCAAAAACAAAAATATCGTCCACATAAATTACAACAATTAACTTTTTATCACCATCTAACAGTTTTTGATATAAACATGGCTCTATTTTAGATTGTTCGAAACCTAAATTCAACATTTCCCTATCTAACTCATTAAACCAAGCATTCGAAGCTTGTTTCAGACCATAAAGTGATCTTTGCAACTTACATACTTTTGATTCTTGACCTTTAACAAACGCCCCCTCGGGCTGATGCATGTAAATATTTTCTTTTAATTTCCCATATAGAAATGCAGTAGTAACGTCCCATTGATCAATAAACCAATCGTATTCAGCAGCTAATGAGAATAGTAACCTTAAAGTTGAACTTCTTACTACTGGTGAATAGGTTTCATTATAATCTATGCCACGTACCTGTGTGTAGCCCTTGACAACTAATCTAGCTTTATATTTACTTATTTTACCATCACTATCTCTCTTGATTTTGAATACCCATTTGCATTGAATAGCCTTCTTATCAGGTGGAAGGTCTACTAGCTTCCACGTCTGATTTTCTTCTAGTGATCGCAATTCATCATCAATTGCTTTCTGCCATAAATCACGATCAGATCTCGCTAATGCTTGCTTTATTGTTAATGGATCGCCATCAATTTCTGCAATAGCATTACAATGGTAATAATTTACAGGTCTACGTTCTCGAAGAGGGTATCTCCTCTCGGGTTCCACAGGATCAGCTTCGATTTCAGCTTCTGAAGTCTCCAAAATCTCACTGTTGACAGGTTCATTAAACCCATTTTTCACCTCCTCCAAATTTATAGGAACCACTGTGCTTTTCATTTCATCAGAAACGTTATCGCCAGGAAAAATATTTTCTAAAAATTTGACGTCTCTCGCAATTTTTACATTGCTTGTCTTTGGATCGATTAGTCGGTATCCTTTTGTTGTTGTGGAATAACCAACAAAGATCAAAGCTTCCGTCTTTGTATCAAGTTTTTGTCTCTTTTGTTTGCCAACCAAAAACTTTTAAATGACTTACATCAATTTTTCTTCCTGTCCATAGTTCCTCTGGTACAGCATTGGTAATAGCTTTTGTAGGACTTCTGTTCTTTAAATATGTTACGGTGTTCACTGCCTCTGCCCAAAATTTCTTACTGAGATTTGCTTCATAAAGCAATGTTCTCACCTTCTCCATGATGGATCTGTTTGCTCTTTCAGCTACACCATTTTGTTCAGGTGTATATGGTACGGTGGTCTGATGTTGTATACCTGAGGACTTCAAAAATTTGTCAAAAACACGATTACAATACTCTGAACCATTGTCAGATCTTAGACATTTAATAGATTTGTTTGTTTGTTTCTCTACTTCTGCCTTGTATTCGCGAAATTTAGCAAATGTTTGATTTTTATTTCTCAAAAAATATACATGTGTCTTTCTTGAAAAATCGTCAATAAATAATAACATGTACCTGCATCCGCTTAGAGAATTTGTTTCAATTGGGCCACAGAGATCAGTGTGCACTATTTCCAAGATATCCGTAGCTCTCGTACCTTGATTTTTAAAGGGACTTTTGCATGACTTTCCATTAATACAAGGTACACATGGTTCACTTAAATTTGTCGATTTTAAATTCATACCAGTTACTAATCCATTCAATTTGTACATATTTTTTCTACTTAGGTGAGCCAAACGTTTATGCCAAAGATTTGAAATTAATTTATTTGACAATGTCAAGTTGACTATCGGTTTTTCTTTTATTTCATATATTCCGCCAACTTCTTGACAAACCGCAATAATTTTATTTTCTTTCTTAATGCTGCAACCTTCTTGGTTTAAATTAATTTCAAAATTATTTTTTATGAGTTTGCTTGCCGAGACTAAGTTCATGGACAAATCGGGAACGTGTAAAACATCTTCTAAATTCAATTTAGATGTTCCATTTGTATATAGTTCGACATTTCCTTTTCCCTGTACTGGTAATTCTTGACCATTCGCTACTTTCACTTTTAAGTCACTTTTTTGACTTTTGTAATTCGATATCTTATTTTTATCGTGCGTCATATGATTAGAACAGCCACTGTCCAGATACCAATTTTTCGAATTAGTTTCTCCCATGTTCAGACAAACTAACCCAGAGACATTCTTAGTATATTGCTTTGTCTCTTTGCATTCTGATGCCTTGTGTCCTGGTTTGTGACACTTGAAACACTTAAAAGTCATCTGCTTACGATCGGTTGGTTTTTTATATGATCCCGCAGATTTTCGTGCTTTATTTACAGATAGAGCTTGTACTTCACTTGAGTTTCCTTCCGACTGTCTATTCGATTCCTGTAGCAGTTTGGTTTTTATTTGCTCAAGAGTAATTGTTTTCTCACAATTATCCACAGCCATTATGAGCGGGTTATATTCCGCAGTCAAACCACTTAACATGATGGAAATAATCCAATCATCTGATATTTCTGCATCAATATCAGCTAACTGCTGTGATAAGTATATTATTTGCGATATATACTTATTCATAGAGTCGAAATTTTCAAGTTTGCATTGCCAAAGCTGTCGCTGTAACGTGATGCGTCTTCCCCAACCTTTATCCTCAAATGCTCTGCAGAGTCTCAACCATACTTCTCTAGCAGTCTTCGCATTATATACATGAGTAAAACATGAGGAATCTAATAATAAACAAATCGTAGTACGGGCTTTACGGTCGTCATCTTTGAATTTGTCATCAAAGTGTTCCAACTCTATTATCTTCCATAAATCCTTATTTTCAAGATAATTACGTACTTGAAATTTCCAGTTGGGAAAGTCCGAAGCACCCTTGAGTTTCATGATACCGTACATTCCATGACTCGACGTATCGTCATCTGCCATTTTCAGAATTTTGATTTGTTTTCACCACTATATTCTAGAATTCACTAAATTATATTTACTTTAGTGCTAGTCCATAACCTGATAGAGATATTCAGTGGATTACGTATACAGTTGTAAATATAATTTATTTCGTTCCGATTGCAGTTGCACGTTACACACAAACTGTTACTTAGCAACAATACTTATTTTAAATGTGATGGATTATACTGCGCTATATGCTCGAGGTTCGATTTGGACGACCAGATTTAATTATATTACAAGAACTTTATTCAGTGAGATCGTTGCCGAGGTTAGGTAACGATAAAGATCTATTAACATTTGCTAGTAAAGTTCGTAATTGTGTAGAGACTCTACGCTTATTAGATGGCGGTGACTATATAAAATCACCTGAATTATTTAATACATTATTATTAAAACTACCTATTGTGTTAAAAAGTAGATGGTATGATTTTGCTATTTCTCATGAATATAGTGGTCAAAACAAGCTAGAAATGCTCGCTGAATTTTTATGTCGTGAGGTTGAGATTCAGGCTAAATTTGGTGTCACGGATTACTTTAGTTTTAACACAACTTCCAATATTGACAGGCATAAAAAACCGGAACGTGTAAATGCCGCAGAAATATATGATTTGCTGGAGCAGTCATCACAAACATCCGAGACGGGTTTCTGTATAGAAACATCTTTTACAACGGCTGAAAATTCATTAAAAAATTCATCAAAACAAATTTGTACATATTGTAAAGGATTTCACGCATTAGTCAATTGTAATAAGTTTTTGGCATTGACAGTTCATAATAAATGGCATTTCGTTAAAGAAAATAAATTATGCCAGAAATGTTTAAAAAGAGGTTCACATAATTATAATACTTGTCGTACTAAAGGACTTTGCAATAAAGCCGGTTGCACACATAAACATCACAAGTTACTTCATAATCCAAATTTTATTAATTCAGCAGCTAATATACAGGTATCTGAAGAGTCAAGTCGGCCAATGTCACATGCAGGTAATGGTAATGCAGAGCAGTCTCCGTCGGAATTGGTATCACAGACGTCTTCTGTTAGTACCACTACTTCTTGTAAGCCATTACTTAAGATTGTCGCTGTCACAGTATCTGGTCCCGCGGGTTCTGTTGATACTTTCGCGTTACTGGATGACGGATCCACGGCTACCTTCATTGACTCAGAAATTACCTCTCAGATTGGAGTAACAGGTACAGTAGAACAAATTGAACTGCAGTGTGTTGGTGGCTTATCAAAACAGTCGCAAGTCGAGTATGTTGACTTTCAAATAAAAGGAAAGAGATCTGCTGATTCCTTTGTCATCAAACAAGCTAGATCTATTAGTAACCTCGGACTGGCGAATCGAAATGTCAATAAGAGTGATGTTCTTGCAATTCCATATTTGTTAGATATAGCTGACGAATTATGTTATAATGCCAAACCTACCATTATAATCGGTATAGATAATTGGAATTTGTCTGTTCCCATGGCAGTAAGACAGGGAACTAGTTCTCAACCTGTTGCCATTCTTACGGTACTAGGGTGGGTTCTTTTCGGGTTTGTAGCGAATAGAACAAATACTGTTCATTTTGTAAATAATGTATGTGATTACGATTTAGGTAGTGACAAGTTACGAGTTGTCAATAATGCAGTTGCCAAATTAGGAGTTAGTTCAAATAAGTTACCTTTGCGTGAACCAGATCTCTTGAAATCTTTTCTTAATATTGTAAATCGTTTTCACGAGGAGAGTGTCATAATTAACGATGACATTAAAGCAATATATCCTCATGTTAAAATCCACAACGTATATTGTGATGCGCAACGTTTTACTTGGAGAGACAGTTCTAAAGAACCATTGAAAACATATCTTATGTCTTCAATGATATATGGCGCTGCATCGAGTCCGTTCACGGATTTGTTAATTAATAATAAATCTCGTTATCAGTTTCCTAGAGTCACACACGTCATCTTTCATGATCATTATATAGACAACTACATTACGAGTAGGTATAGAGACTGTTGAGAGATTTACTCGTTTACTAGCTGTTATTCATACATATTGGGAGGTTAATTTTGAGATATTTGATGAACCAAGCGTGCTGTCACTGATATCAAAGTATTTGTGCTTTAATCAATCATTAGATGAGTTTCATGTAGAAGTAGTTAGCGCACCAGTACATGCACTTGGTTTATTATGACTCTCAGGGACGAGTTTATTGACTGACACTACTTATCTTCATTACTTTAATAGAACTATTTGAACTAAAATTAAAGTACATAGCTGCATTAATGCCAACGTTCATCAATTTTTCACATTTACATTTGTCACTCATCTGTGCCAGAACATTTTAGTTGATAGTTTACAACATTAATTATAACCGCAATTGCGTTTTTTATATTGCGACTGCGTAGTTTATGTTTACAATTTATACTTTTAAAATACTTGATATATCTAAATTAATTAAATTAAATTATTGTATTTTCTGTTGTTTATAGATATTTTTATTATTGTAACGGCACTAGCTTCGCGCGTTAACGTCTTATATTTGAAATACCCTGATGGTTGAAGATTTAAATATATTTGAGATAGACGTCATATTCAATATTCAAGAAGATGCTTTTAGTAATAAGATTGCTTGTGTTGCTGACCACTGGCTTCATAAACCTCAAAGTTAACTGTATTATCTCCACAGAATGGTCCTGACAAACTACACTGCTCGTATGGTATTTGTCTTAGATGTCAGCGACGAAGTCAAGTTTCCTCTTGTTTTAGATAGAGAACATATTAGTACATACAGATGGTTCTCCGAGTTATGAAGGTGAGAGAGCGATAAGGAACTCCAAAGGTAGAGATCATTACATTAGCGGAGGTGGACAGCCTTATCAACAGATTCTTGTCCATGCACTTTTTTGAAGGAGTTTTTTTGTCAGTCCGACTGAGATTGCGATTTCATTTCACACGGTAACTGGAGGATTGCAGTATGCTTAAGCTTGGAGTTGATGGGTGAGAGAGTGCTTCCCAAGACTATTATCTCGTCATTCAAACTCAAACTCAGATTGAACTACCACTATTGGAGACATTCTTATAATAGCCGATGGAAACTTTCCCCGAGGTAGATGGCCCGATGACGTGTGGTTACTTTTTCTCTGAAGAATTGGCTGATGTTCAAACAAGGATGTTCAAGCAGTTGAAGAAACACTAAAACGTTCTTTAAATAAGTTAGTGCCGATAGTGATGTCATAGTTCGTACTTCATATAATTTTTCTTTATGTATAATGAATTACCCAGATTCATTTAATTTTCTTTTAGTATTATTGTTTTGTCATTGTTCCAGTATGAAAGCTGAATTTAGTTTAGTTCACTAAATTGAAGACTCTTGTTTTTTTTTGATCTTTAGACTATGTGCACGACGCACCTCTTTGTATATTATTTATGTATTTTGTCTATTATTTTATATAGAAAAATATATATTGTCATTGTCAATTCTTGTTCTGTTAATTATTATTATACTTTTGTACATAATATTATATTATTGCTTCCTAAAACCCGTGTTTGCATAATTATATTTACCAGCCCCATATATATACAGTCCTTCGTTCACATTTTAAAATTCACATATTTTGTTATTTTTTTAATTGCTGCTACGATACCCTATATATATATATATATATATATATATATATATATATATATATTAATATATACTATATATGTGCACAATATATATAACCTATTATAGTCTAATATTATATAGTCCTCAAGGATATTTTACATTTCTGAGAGTCAAAGAATTTTTTAAATGGGATCACCAAAACCGTAAATAACCCCGAACATACAAACTTTACCGCTTCCTAATATTAATACAAAGGTATAGATATAAGTATATCTACTTGCTATATTTTGTACGTACATTACGTACTTTATCAGAAATTACTTCATAATAGAGTATAAGTTTAAAATATTTAAGTTAATTTAAAAATATACTGACACAGAAATATCTTTATATTTATAATAAATGTATCACTTTTATAATTTTTAATAAAATAAGATGTTTGCTGTTATAAGCTATACAAAGTTACAACTTCATAGCCTTTCGACAAATCATACGAAATATGTATAACATTTGTTTTATAATTATGATTATATAACACATATTATTTAGTATTTCATTTTGAAAATTGACTAATTATCCAAAGAAAAATATATAATTCAAAACTCAAAAATCCATTATTCATGTAGGACATTTTAGCCGCTTATAAACGTCAAATTTTTTAAATATTTTTTTTACATAGAGTAGATACATATACCTATATAGAATAGATAATAGCTGTATTATGTGTAATGACCCATAAATAGTATTTTAAAATAAATTATCATTATTATCATTAATATCCGGATTGCTAATTACACACAAACGCCTTTAATGCTGAGATATCAGATGACGCATGACAATAAATATGCAGCAAGTACTAAGCTACAAGAATTAGTGTACTGTCAGTACTAGAAAATGTTGGTTTGTTTATTAATTTCGCAAGTGATATAATTTATAAATAATTAGCATCATGTACTTAGTACAAACTATTCACTATATACTGTGGTGAATCACCATTGTTGTTTATATTTCCATGTACTCTGTAATTCGAAACTCGACCAGGCCCCTCCAATGTGCAGCCGGAAGTATAATGTGGCAACATATAAGACGTATAACCAATTCTTTATCTTAAATTTGCAGATTCCGGCCGCGCCTTCACTTCTTCTGTAGTTCTTCCCATTAATTAAAAATTAAACATTAACAAATTCTTCCACAAATAACAGAGTCTCGTCACCTGTATCAAATAACAAGATCGAACCACCTAAATAACTTAAAAAAACTATTACCATTTGTCATACTAGAGGTATAGTTTGTACAAAGTTGTCTGTGTGGTGTACTGCTATTTTCACAGGAGTTTCGTTGCCGCAAATCATTGGCGAAAGCTGGAGCTTAATTTTTTGAAAGATTATGAGGGATCGTAATCCTTCAAAAAAAAAGAAGACTAACTATATAACCTAATTAAAAATGTTACCATTCCTTATACATGTAAAATTGAATGTCCTCTTATTGTGACCTATATAATTTTTTTCTGAATGTAACTGGAATAGTAAACATGCTGACGGCCCACCTGGCAATCATCGCATAAACGTTTACTCGAATAGTGCCAGACACATTACAGCACCATGTGACGGAAGTAGTATTAGATTAGTCCTGCGTGGTCACTCCGGAAAACTAAAATATGTACACATCTACCACCTAAATTCACATGAAACCACCAAAGAAATTGTGGGGAGACATTGGCACGTGGTCAGATTATACGACAGCCTGTCTACGTGATCGCAGTGATTGATTAATTAGGCAGGTATCTAATCAAATATCCTCGGATTATGAGGTACATTTCATGATTTGATCAAGAAAAATAAAAAATAAGTAATAATTTAGTCATAAGGTTGACGCATTTGAATAAAAGGAAACAAGTGACTTTAACTTATCATTTACCATTATAATTAGTAGCAAGTTACTAGTTACTGACAGCATAGGTACATACGTATTATTCATAAATGTACGTCATAGGGCTATGTGGCTGGAAGAAAACAGGGGAAACTGGGTATATCACACTTATGCAAAAGAAGGAAAATTTCGAATTAAACCTTATACCTAGCCGTGTAAAAGGCATATTATGATAGGAAGAATACTTGTGGAATCCTCTTTTTGTGGGAGAGACAAAACATAGTCTAATTTAATAATTTCTTAGCTAGTATCTTCGACTCCGGTTCCTTTTTTTAGATAGGACGTAAGCTCTGTCCTTCTTCGTGATACCTACCTTCACAAAGACTCTCTAGAAAGACATTGAATGAATATGCATTAACTTATTATTTAAGGTGCATTAAGGTTACTTCTTGTCGGTTAATATTAAAATTTCGCTGCTTCTTTTGTTCCTGATTTAGCTGAAATGCGTTACCTAGACCTCACAAATTAAATAACCTTGAGCGTCTTCAAAGTATTGGTAACAGGTTGATTATTTCGGTCGCAGTTCAATTCTGACTCATTTAAACTGTAAAGGATATTAAGAATGTTAAGGCGCCTTCGCCGTGATTGATATATTCTTTCTAGTCTTTTCCATTTTTTTCAATCCCACTACTCATCACCACCTTAAAGAAATATTCTTATTTTTCGGTGAGTTATACATAGTGCTACGAATATAAACTTCCGTTTTAAAACCTCTTCCCATACATCCTCATTCTGTAATAAAACTGTAAGTATATCAGTATTAGCCGTTTGTCTGTGGAACTCACACCTATCCGTTCTACCCGTTTTCAAGTAGGTACTCTATTAAATCTCATTATCACTCCCAAGTAAACAAGTCTTATTCACTCATACTTCATTACACTTACATTACACTTTTATGTATTGTATATCAATATATAATACGTATGGCAACATATGTATTAATATATAAACTGTATTTTATGTACGAGTGTGTCAATTATTATTATTTATATTTAATATTACTACACCTTTTTTATCTAGTCCAATTTTGCGTTACCTTCAAGTTTCTGTTTTCTCTCCTCTACCCAAAAGTTGACTGGAAGTGGCATCAGAGTATTAATACCTACCACTGCGCTGACTGCCATGCGACATCCATAAGCAGTATTTCGATAGAGACATAACAACAAAATTTCAGTGTAGAGAATCAAAACAACTGAGTTTTCATGGACCACAGGCATCACAACATGGATGTTGGTGGTCCTGGCCGTGTAGATAAATAGATAGGGTTGCTACTTTCTACTACAAGTAAAAGGAGTGGTTACCCAATGGATATCCAGTTTTTTTGCTTTACAATTTAATAAAAAAAACATATTTGGGTTAGTTTTATGTACGTAGGTTTTATAGATGTAATTCATATTTTTACTGTCCATTTGAGTATTCTTGAAGCAAATTAAGTTAGACGATGGCAGAGCCAAGTTTGATGTTACAATGTATATATGTAAACTACAAAGTATAACATTGGTTAGTGCAGTTTTTTTATGTTTTTAAGCGACGATTACATAATAGACACTATTTGAAACATCTTTTATAGCTGCTTATAACTCAGTGGCTATATAAATAAGAAGATATATATATAGATATATATATATAGGATATCCCGTTTTCGAAAACAAAAATCAAGTCTGAGAAATTGTAAAAGGATTACTTCTACTATTACTTTATAAAGCCACAGAGTTAGTAAACTGTTCTTAACTACCATTTACACGTTACCTATTACTGTACTTTGCTATTACAATACTTTATTGATCATATCTGATATTTAAAATTAAAAGTTTTTGT